GAGCCACCTTAGAGCCTGCCTACAACAGAAATAACAGAGAACTTCCTTAATCTGATAACGAATATCATCAAAACACAAACCACAGCAAGTGGCCTACTTTCTGAGATCAGAGACCGCACAGGCCCCCTCTCCCCTGGACTTCGCCTGGGGGGGGGGGTCTTAACCAAGGCAGTGAGTTAGGAGCAGAGACGTCGTAAGGTCAGAAAGGGGGGTCATCACTCACAGGCAATGCCCTGGGGATTTAAAAAATCCAGAAGGATCTACACATAAGTTAGTAGAATTCACAAGAAAGTGTAGCAAGCCTCTGGACACAGTCAATAAGTGAAAGTCACTTGTTTTCCTACAGAGAGGCAAACAGAAAATAAATTATTTTAAATAGCTATTTGTTAAAAAGGCAAGAAAATGTTATGTATGTATGCACAGCCAGTATGGTTCAGTGGTTGAGTATCCACTCATGAACTAGGAGGTCACAGGTTCGATTCCTGGTCAGGACACTTGCCCCGGTTGCAAACTCGATCCCCAGTGGGGAGGGGGTGTGGGTGTGCAGGAAACATCTGCTCGATGATTCTCTCTCATCATTGATGTTTCCATCTCTCCCTCTCCCTTCCTCTCTGAAATCAATAAAAATACATTTAAAAAAATGATTCTACAGTTTACATGGAAATGCAAATTGACCACCCAGTCAATACAGCAGAACTGGGAGGCCCCACGCGGGTTAGGATGACGGTGGTTGAAGCTTGTTGGCTGGAGGGTGGGATGGAAGGGTGGCAGGGACAGTCTGAGCCCCTCCAGGGCCAGTCTCAGGGGCTTGGGGGCATCCTGCCAGTAGACATGAGCAGGGGAGCTGGCGGGGAGGGAGGCAGAGAACAAGGCTGTGAGGTGGGGTTTTCTTCCCTTTCGTTTATAAGACAGGAGGCTGGAGAGAAAGAAGGGCAAGGGTCCTGGTGGGAGGGGACCAGCCTGCGACTTGGGCAGGAGGGCCCCAGGAGGTGTGTGCACAAAGATAAGATCTCTGCAGAAAAGGCAGGAAGTGGTGCCCCTGCCCTGGCTGGTTTTCCGAGAAGGGGGTGCAGTTCAGGAAGCCTGCGGGGAAGCAGCCAGCTGTGGTGGTTCTGCTGCAGCACGGAGGGGGCTCTGCAGGGGCTGGGCACACTGGCCTGGGAGGCAGGGACTCCCAGGTGCCAGGTCCTGGGCGCTCACTGCGGTGACAAGGGTGCGGTAGGAGTGACCTGAAAACAGGGCCTAGTCTTCACGCGGGACCAGGAGGGTAGCTCTGGGCAGAGGGGAAGCTCTGGACGATGGGAAGCCGGGTCTGTGGGAAGGCGTCTGAGATGGTGGGGGGAACAGGGCCTGGGAAGCAGGAGGTCAGAACCAGCACCTCAGTCAGCACTGTGCACAGATGCTAGGGTCCTGGGAAACATCAACCACTAATGCGAGGGTTAGACCTGGGGCTAACCCGGCTCTGAGAGTCCCGGCCACTGTGACGGGCAAATGTCCCACCAGAGATGCCTTATTATCAGAAAAAGCACTTCCAAAGCACTCCGGAGCAGCGGTTCTCAGCCTTCCTAGGGCCGCGACCCTGTGACACAGTTCATGTTGTGGTGATCCCTGTTATGCCCAGATCTTGTGATCCCCAAAGACCACCAGGGAGCTGAGTCCGATGCAATCGCAGAAAGCCTGTGTTTGGACTAGTCTGAGCTCTGTCCCACTTACCCTGACAGTGGCGTGGCGGAAGAGAGCGAGTTTCAACAGATCAAAGGGTTTTATAGGGGCGGTGATATCACTGCTTTGGCTGACCCCGATTGGTTGGGTGGGGGTTAGGGTCTAGTTACAAAATGGAGGATCAGGAGTTAGCTCCGCCCTGCCCTCTCAACCCCCAACCATAAAATTATTTTCGTTGCTACTTCATAACTGTAATTTTGCTGCTGTTAATGAATCATAATGTAAATATCTGTGTTTTCCGATGGTCTCAGGCGACCCACAGATTGCGAACTGCTAGCAGGGTCGCCTAAGACCATCAGAAGACACAGATATTTACATTATGATTCATTAACAGCAGCAAAATTACAGTTATGAAGTAGCAACGAAAATACTTTTATGGTTGGGGGTCACCACCACATGAGGAGCTGTATTAAAGGGCCACGGCGTTAGGAAGGTTGAGAACCACTGGTCTAGAGTCACACTGAGTCTAGACAACTGGCACCACCCTGTGTCTGGAAGAAGTAAAAACAAACAACAAATCCCTTCAGGGGGGAGGAAGGTAGCATCTGAGAGTGGCTCCAAGCAGGTAATTCTCCCATTACAGGACTCAGCGCCCAATCAAAGATGAGCTGGCACATCCTATCTAATAAAAGGATAATATGCAAATTAGCCATCACTCCATCACAAAGATGAGCTGGCACATGAAGGAATAAAAGGTCAGGAGTGGCAGCAGGTGTGGACTTTCCAGAGACAAACCCCAAAACAAGTGTGTGTACAAGGCCCAGGGAGGTAAAACCAGTGCAGAGTTGGGAGGATACAGACTCCTTGGACTGACTGGCACTCCACCAGCACCGAAGAGCACAGGGAACAAGGCAGACCTGTTTTCCAAGCCATAGACCAAGTCTAACTTAAAAGAATTCAAAGCAAGGCAAAGTACGTATGCTGACCATAATAGGATTAAAATTAGCAATCACTAAAAAATTAAGATCTCTGGGAAATCTCCAAATATGTGGAAACAACACACTTCTAAGTAATCTATTAGTTAAATAAGAAACCCAAAGATAGATAAGGAAATGTTTTAAAATGAATATGAAAACATGGCATATCAAAGCTTGTGGGATTTGCTTTAGCCAGTTTGACTCGGTGGATAGAGCATTGGCCTGTGGACTGAAGGGTCCCACATTCAGTTCCTATCAAGAGCATGTATGTTGGTTGTAGGCTCCATCCCGGCCCTGGATCGAACTTGAGAGGTTTGCGACACAGGAGACAAAACACAGAGAATCCAGGCAATTAAAAGGGGGAGGTTTTAATCTTACGCTGCTGGGCGAAATTCTCTGGTCCGAGAATGGGCCAGGGAAGTTCCTGCCAAAAAGGGGGCATAGGTACTCGGTTTATAAAGTGGGGGGAGAGCAGAGGGCATGAGAAGTGTGGAATTCCTGCCTCGGGCCAGGGTCTAGGAAGGCGCCAGTTATCTCTGTCACCATTTACTGTACCTTGCAGCTCTGGATTCCCCCCTGCCTCCACCTAACAGGGAGGGATGTGTGTGGGAGGCACCCAATCGATGTGTCTCTCTCACATTGATGTTTCTCTCTCTCTCCCCTTCCAGTCTCTCTAAAAATCAATGCAAAAATATCCTCCGGTGAGGATTAACAAAAAGAAAAAGCAAGAAGGAGGGAAGGGAGGGAAAGAGAAGGGAGAAGGGAGGAGGGAGGAGGGAGGGGGGAGGAAGGAGGGAGGAGGGAGGGGGGAGGAAGGAGGGAGGAGGGAGGAGGGAGGGAAGAATTGAAAAGAAGTGAGAGTGCCCAGCAGCTCTGTGGAGCGGCGGTTCTAAGCCTTTGGAAACCTGAGGATCTGATGGACTAAGAGAGATGCTAAACACATAAACAGCCGCGGGCAGCTGAGGAGGTCCCTGCGCCCACTCCCAAGCTCCTGGCAGGTGGCTGGGTGAAGACCTCCTGTCCAAGGTGGGGGTGGGGGGAAGGGGCCCAGGGCCAGACAGCACCATTTCAGGAAGTGGCCCCGATCCCACCTGGAAGCCTGTGGCGTGGGCAGCGGGTTACTGTGACCCTGACTGGAGTGGCCGCCCCCATGGATCTGCCCCGTGGGACCTGGGCCTGCGATGCTGGCGCTGCGGCCGCTGTGGGGCCTGGGCGCCAGGACCTTGAGCTCAGGTTGCCATGGCATTCTGTCCCCCTGGCTCAGGGACGAGGATGAGGACGTGAAGTGGGTAGGAACGGGGTGGAGGGAGGGAAGGCGGTCAGGAGGGGGGTGGAGTGGGGACAGATGTGGGCACAGGGCACCGGGGATGGAGACGGAGATGTGTGGGGAGTGGAGGAATGGGGACTGCTGAGGGAGGCAGGGTGGGTGGGGAGGAGGACGGGGTGCAGCGAGGCGGTGATGCCGAGAGGGAGGGGGCTCTGCGCTCCTAGAGCCGCCTCTGTCTCCTCCTTCCCGTCTCCCGGGGGACCAGCCGGGCCTCGGCGTCTGCCCGCCCCCAGTCCTAGGGCGGCGGCCCCGCGCGGATCCGGGCGAAGGCTCCCCGCAGCCCGCGCTTTCCGGCTGCAGCCCCGCAGCGGCCACATCGCCGCGGTCCGGCCGAGCCCGGCGGAGGGTAAGGCTGAGAGGTGCCCGCAGGGCCCGGGAGGGAGGGACCGCGGGCCCGGGAGGAGGGTCGAGGCGCCGCCCCGATCGCTGCGCCAGGAACCGGCCGGCGTCCAGTCCCGGTCCCCGTCCCGGTCCCGGTCCCGGCTGTGGGGCCAGGCAGGCCGGGGAGGGGAGGATGCGGGGCCGGGTTGGGGGGAAGGGTCGGGCCCCTGGGTCCCGGCCGGGGGGGTGGAGCCAGCCCCGCGTCACCAGCCGCGCGTCCCCGGACTCTGGCCTCGCCGCCGGGGGAGCCGGGTGGAGGCGCGCGGTCCTTGCTCCAGACCCCGATCCGGGTCCCGGGGGCCCCGGCCCCTGAGACTGCGCCCCCAGACACACGCCGCACCGCTGCGCGGCCGGGTGTCCTTCCAGAGCAGCCCAGCAGGTGGCGCCCGCCGGCCCCTGGCCCCGCCGCAGGGTGCTCCCTGCCACCCAGCTCTGCCCCCGCTGCACTCCGGCCACAACCCTCTCACCCCACCTCCCCTGCCCGGTAACTGAGCAAAACCCTCCCCCCGGCCTGGCCCCCCAATCCCAGGCCTTCAAGCCCCTTCTCGCAGTCCACGGGCCCGAGAGGGCAGCGAGCCCCGTCCCGGGCACCCGGCCCCCGGCCGCGGAAGCTGAGGTCCTTCCTCCGTCCCCGCAGGTTTCGCCCCACGAGGATGAACTGGATGGCAGCGACGTGCTGGGCTCTGCTGCTGGCCGCCACCCTCCTCGGCGACGGCGGCGAGGCCAAGGGCGGCCGCGGAGGGGCTCGCGGCAGCGCGCGCGGGGGGCGCGGGGGCGCGCGCGGGGTGCCCAGGGTGCGCGTGCGGCCGGCGCCCCGCTACTCGGGGTCCGCCCTGCGCGTGGGCGCCGTGGCGGCGGCGGCGGCGGCGGGGGCGGCGGCCGCGGCCTCGTCGGGCTCGGGCTGGAGGAGGGCCCTGGGGCCCTGGGAGAGTGACCCCGAGGGCGAGGACGCCGCCTCCGGAGGCAACAGGACGGCCGTCTACAGCTACTGGGCATGGACGTCGGCTGCAGGGCCTACTGCGTGCAGCCTGCACCTCTGCCTGCTGCTTGGCGGCGCCCTCAGCGCCCTGGGGCTGCTGCAGCCCTAGGCGGGGCAGGGCTCGGAGCCAAACTGGCCCCCCGGCCCGCACCTGCCCCGCAGGCGCAGCCTACCGCCCACAGCCCACGATCCTAGTGACCAGAAAGGCTGCCTGGGGGATGCCGGCCAGTCCCAGCAGGAGCTGCATCCTCTTCCCTGTGACCCAGGTGCCCGCTCCTGCTCACCACCCTGCCAACGCCCCCACCATCAGCTCCAGGACACCTCACCCACCAATTTACTGGTTAGCGTGGTCCCCCAGAAAAGCCGGGGTCCATGGCTCCTGTACCTCCCAGCCAGCTGCCTACCATCTCCCAGAGCTGCCTCAGGTGCCGAGACCAGGCTGTTCCGGCCACTCTGTCTCCTTGGAGGCCTCCCTGGACACTGGAGGGGTGTGGACATGCTGACCACCAGGCAGAGAGGTGCACGGAGGGCTGTGGTGGCCTCCCCCCAGAAGCCGCCAGGATGGACCACAGGAACTGATTTGGAGAGGTTTAAGCTCACAGATCGAAGCATAGAGACTGCCAGGTGCTGGCCCTGTGGATCTCAGAGCCCAGGCCTGCCCACTGGTGGTTCTGTGCACGTTCCCGGACACCCCTGCCCCCGGCGCTCTGTGCAGATGCCCTGTGAGGCCCTCTGCCAGGGACTCCCTCGGAGCCACTGTGCTCTGACTTGGAACAAGTCACTTGATTCTTCTTGGGACCCACTTTGAAAAAAAGCAACATTCTGTTTAAACACCAGGATTGTTCCATTCCCTTTGAACTAAAGGCTCAAATCCCGGACCCGGAGCCCTGGCCTGCGCTCAGAGACTGCAGCTGCCACTCCCACCGAAGGGCCCGCCCTGGCCTGGCTGGCTGAGTTCCAGGGCGGTGGCCACCCTCAGCGGGCAGCACCCCCTGGAAGGTGAGGCTGGGAGCTCCAGGCACATGACCATGGCAGCACCTGGGGGAAGGCGGAGGTGGCTGGGCCCCAGGACCCAGCAAGCACACCGGGCCTCCCTCAGAAGAAGGAAGCTCCCAGAGGCAGACTCCTCCAGCACCATGTGGGGTGTCTACACACTCCAGACCCTGAGGACAGCTCCCCAGGGCCGATGTAGAGGAGCTTCTAAGGAAACAGGGTTTGCCTATGGCACCCACCAGCCCTATGTTTAAGGCCAATCCTTAGCCTCTGGGGCACCTGGAGCTCAGCCCTGGGGAGCAGGGGGGGCGGCTCTACCACCACCGCACCCCAAGGGAGGCCAGCCCCAGGCCGGCTCCTGGGACCGCATCCTCCTGGCGCTCAGCAAGAGCCTCCCAGAACGCGCCCTCGCCCCCAGACCTCAGGGCCTTTGGTCTCTGTGATGGACACCAGTGCTGAGACCAGGCCCTGGCGAGCCTGCCCCTTTGCCCTCCCACAGCTGGCTCTGGTCAGGGGCCGAGGGAGAAGGGTCTCTAGGCTTTCGGCAGGACTCAAGTTTTTCTCCAAAACACGAAGCTGCAGGATGAAGCCTCGACAGCCTCCTGTGTGCACACTGCCAGCATTCTTGGGGTGCAGCGAGCCCAGACGCTCCTCTATCCATTCCAGACCAAGCTGGATGCTACCAAAGCCGTGAGCCGTGGCCGAGCCCCGCCAGGGCCTCAGAGGCAGTGTGGCCGTCCTGCCGTTTATCCGCAGGGAGCAGGAGTCATCCTGCACAGGCCGAGCTGTTCTCCCCAAGGCCCACAGGGGGGCCCAGCGTGGCTGCGCTCAGCCACTCAGTGCCACCCGGACAGGCTGCGTGGCGCAGTGGGAGCCATCAGCTCCCTCTGGAATCGAGATGCCAGATTCCGGTCAAGAGCACATCTCATCCCCGACCCTGGGACCCTGGGAGTGCATCTGGCGTTTGGTGCGGCCCTGAATCTTTTAATCCCACCCCCCTGCCATGTGTGTCCCCCCACACAAGCTCAGGGTTCCCGCAGGAGGCAGAAGGTGCTCAGGGTGGATCATTGCAGGGGGGTTAGCCAGGTGTGTGGGAAACCCACGTGGGTAGTGGGACCTGGGTGGAGGGTAGGGGGATCCCACATAAATAGTGGGAACTAGAAGGGAGCCCACATGGGCAGTGAGACCTACAGGAAGAGGCTCCTGGCAGCTCCAGGGAGGTCAGGCCTCCAGTAGAGCAGCCAGGGCTACTGGCCAAGGCACCTGCTCCCCCAGCCCACCATCCCTCCCGTCCTTTTCCTGCCCGTGGACCCTTCAGGTGCAATGACAGGTGCTGGGAGGCACGTGGGAAGTTTATTGTCCATCAGCTAGAAGGTGCTCAGAGCAGTGGGAGCCCTAGGCCCCCACTGCCCATACAGAGACCCTCCCAGCCAGCACACATTCCCGAGGGGACAGGCCAGGCCTTGGGTGCTGCCACGAGAACTGGAACCTTCTGTCCCCATTTGTGTGCACATTCCAGCAGCGTTGTGAAATAAACACTGTGCTGGCAGCAACGCCTCTTCATTGCAAGCCCCCGGACGCTGCGTCAGATGACACTGCATCTCCAGCTGCTAACCAGCTCGCCTCCCGCTTCTCCCTGGTGACAGGGGCCCTGACACAAGCGCCCAAGGTGCTGAGGGTGACTGGGCCAACAACAGACACGCGGCTTAGTTTAAAACATTTAAATTAGATTATAGCTTCACTCTTTCTGGGCCGATGTCAGCTTCTCCGTGCGAGAAGTGAGCGTGAGTGAACGTCCTCGCCCGGCCAGGCACGCAGGACTGCGCAGGGAGGTCGGTGCTGACGCCCGCACCCCACGCACTGGGCCCCGGGACCAGGAGCTGGCCTGGCTGCGGAGCGGCAGGAGGGCGCAGCCCCCTTCCTGGAGCAGAGGCCGTAGCGTAGTGACTGGCACGGAGCTTCCGGAAGAGGGAGCCCTGAGGGTCAGAACCCAGACGTGAGGGTCTGGGGCACTACGCGTCTCCGGGGCCTAGAGCCTGGCTGGGGTCTGCGGTGGGGAGGCCCTGCAGGATGTCCCGGTCCAGCATCACGGGGCCCAGCAGCCCGCTGCGGAAGGTCCGGAGGAAGTCACGGGCTGCCGCCGAGTAGTTGGGCTGGATGATGTTCACGTTGCCTGAGGAAGGCAGGAGGGTCTGGTGAGGAAGGGGCTCCCACACAGGATCCCCCCCCCCCCCAGCCTGCCCTCAGGAACAGGGACCCTAAGGTGGGTACCTGTGGAGCTCAGGCACCAGCACCTACTCAAAAAGAAAACAGAACCAGCCCGGCTGGTGTGGCTCAGTGGTTAGACTGAGTCAACCTTTGACCCTGGAGGTCACGGTTTGATTCCTGGTGAGGACACATGCCCAGGTTGCGGGCTCAATCCCCAGTGTGGGGTGTGTAGGAGGTAGCCGATCAATGGTTCTCTCTCATCATTGATGTTTCTCTCTCTCTCTCTCTCCCTCTCCCTTCCTCTCTGAAATCAATAAAAACATATTAAATTAAAAAATAAATAAAACAGATTCAGCCTCCTGAGGAAAGGGTGAACACGGAATGCACCCAGCACCCCCGGGCCCACAGCAGGGAGGCTGGACAAGAACCACAACAGCTTCATGGCCCCAGAGCCCTCCCTGGGCGGCCAGGCTGCTCCGAGGACAGGCCCCCTGCCCGGGGTCTCACCTGTGCCCGTGAGCACCTTCACCTTCTGCGTCTTCCTCAGCTTGATGGCCACGCGCTTCAGCACACTTGCCACGTCATCGCAGGCCTCACCCAGGCCGTAGCGCTGCACGTACCTAAGCAACAGGAGCCGGGGCGTGAGGGGAGGGAGGAGGGGTTACAGCTGCATCTGTGTATCAAACGCACCCAACTAAATACATTTTAAGTTAGCGGTCGCTAACCTTTCGGACCACCTGCTGGCGACCGCTGCTTCGAATGACGCAGACTGCTGTCTGTCTGCAGTACCCTACCAGTGCCACCTGGGAAACCACGCTAGCACAGGAGGACGGGCTGGCCTGCCCGCATCGGGCTCTCACCCAAAGAGCTGGTGCCTGTTGAGGGTGTAGAGAAGGTAGTCGGCCAGAGTCTCCTCCCCAACCAGGTGGTCCAACACGGTTCCTGGAAACAGGCAGGGAGGTGAGTGCACGCCCTCGGTCTCGGCCAGAGGCTGCAAGGAGGCCACCCCAGACCTGACCGTCCTGCCCGGCTGTACAGGGACAGCGCCGAGCGTTAGCGTGGCCTGCGGGTCAGTGTTAGCGTGGCACTGGGCCGCACGTGGGGCCCTGAGGGTGGCTCACCACAGAGGGCCAGCTTCAGGCCCGTCTCCACGCTCTCAATCCGAGGAGCCAGCACTCCAGGCGTGTCCAGCAGGAACATCAGCGGCTGCTCACTCACCTGTGGGCACAGAGGGCAGTTGGCTCGCCACTCAGGAAGCCTCAAGCAGCCCTCCGACCAGGCCTTCTGCTGGACAACGCTCAAGCAGGAGACACCCGAATGATCCTGCCCTGATGGGGTCGTTTTCACAAGCTCTTGGCTTCCCCACAGGGATCCGCTCCCGTTAATTTGGAGATAACAGCAAGAGCCCCCTCAGCCCCATCTTTCCAGGAGGAAGGAAATGTCAGAGAGGTAATGTAACTCCTCTGCGCCTCAGTTTGCCTATCTGTAACCAGGGACCAGTATGCCCTCCCCGTAGGTCTGGTGTGAGGCTGGTGCAGTGCCCGGCCCATAGCGAGTACTCGTGGGAATGGAGATTGAGGGAAAGAACAGAGACGAGCACAGCACCTTGCAAACCCCCAGGAGGTGGCAGGCATCTGTGTGTGTCTGCAGCTCTGGGCCCAGAGCCGAGGCCCTACCTGAATTCTGGACATCACAGCTCTAGTGATCCCAGGCTCACCGCCCACCCTGGTGGCTTTTCCTGCGGGAGAAACAGGGCTGTCAACATACATTAAACACACCTGGCGCATCAGATACAGAACAAGCAATGAAGCACATGGAAACCTGCAAACTTGAGTTCAGGGTTCTGCCCCAAACCAGCTCATGGCAATGACCTTTACAAGCAGGTTCCCAATGCCTCCCATCGCCTGCACAGGTGCCCCAAGCCCTATGGAGGGAAAGGGGCAGGACCTGACTGTGACAGTCAGACAGCTGCTCCTTTCAGCAGCCACCGCCTCCCGCCTACACTTGACCCTGCACCCTCCTATCTGCCCCACGGCACTGCCCACAGCACCCCCCCGGGAAGGCCGTCCGTCTGTGAGGCTGACCTGACCAAGGCCCAGCCGAGCAGACTACACCCTCTGCCAAGTCAACTGGAGGGTAAAGGGACATGTGTGTCCACTGGCGGATAAATGTGCTCCATCCACACAATGCAGTATTATTCCGCCTTAAAAAATATGAGGTCCGGCACCTGCCACAACCTGGACGGACCTGGAGGCCATTACGCTCAGTGATGCTAGACACGGGTGCTACATTCACAGACCCTCAGAGACAGGAAGGAGACTCAGGTTCCCAGGGCTGGGAGAGAGTGGAGAGTTGAGCTATATAACTTAATGCCACCGTTTTTTTAAGCCACAATTAAAGAAAAATGAACTTTAAAAAATAGATGACTATGACCACCCTCGAAAGAGTACCAGAAGCAGCGCCTGTCAATCACAGCTGCGTGCGGTTTACAGCCTTCGGGTGTGCGCTGGAAACAGTGCTGACAAAGACCACACACTGACACTGACCGGGTGTGTGTGTGTCAATGCAGTTTTACACTTCAAATACTTAGGAAAAGAGGACAGGCACAGTTAAGAGTACTGTGTGCCTCGAAATCAGAGAACATGCATGAAGCAGGGAGACAGCCCAGGGCTCCTAGATGTGATCCCCATGCAGGCTCCCGACACCCCTGCCTGACATCAGACCCCATGGACTGTGTAACGTGTTGGGAACAATGGATCAAAAACTTAAATGAAGCCCTAGCCGGTTTGGCTCAGTGGATAGAGCATCAGCACAACCATCGGGCTGTGGCTGCACTGGACCACAGGTGGGGCCCTGAGGGTGACTCACCACATAGGGTCCCAGGTTCGATTCCGATCAAGGGCACATGCCTGGGTTTTGGGCTTGATCCCCAATAGGGAACGTGCAGGAGGCAGCCAATCAGTGATTCTCTCTCGTCATTGATGTTTCTATCTCTTTCCTTCTCCCTTCCTCTCTGAAATCAATAAAGATATATTAAAAAAAAACAACAACAAAAAAAAACTTAAATGAAAAGACAAAATCACCAACATTAGAATTGTCATCCAGGTATCAAGCAGAGAGAGAACAAATTAAGTGTGAAATGTCACGGGAGGACTCTCTCACCGGGTAACCCCACAGCAGGCGCTAACTGGGTCCTTCTGGAGGAAAGAGACCAGCAGAGGGCTGTGCCCGAGGACTTATGGGCGGAGTTTCGTCTCAGGACAAGAGCAGCTGCTCGGAAGGAAGGATGAGGCCGTCGCAACCTCAGCCGACGTGGCTGGCAGTACCTTTCTTGAGGTGCTGTCTCCTGAGCGAGTTGATGAGCGAGGACTTGCCCACGTTGGGGACGCCAATCACCATGATGCAGAATTCCATATTCTGAGAGGCAGAACAGTGACCGTCAGGGATACAACCAGACCCCCACTGGGAGCCCCAGGAGCCTAGCCCAGCCGAGGGGGAAGGAAGGTCACTGCTGAGGCCTGCCCACCCCGACAGCCCCACCCTTCCTGCAGGGGAGCAGTGAGGAGAGAGGCTCATGTTTATGCCAAGGGCTCAGTCTGGCCACTGTGTTTAGCAGGTGAGCCTCGGGCTCCTCAGCAGAAGGGACTGCCCCAGGGCAGTGCCATCAACCAACCTCTCCGCGGTTGTAGCGGTAGCTGTTTCCAATCAACTCCGTGACCACTGGGACGACCTGTAACAACCACACAGGCACTTTCGTGAGGAAACAGGCTTCTCCCCTGGTTTCTGGAGGTGGCACACTCAGGTTCTATCCACATCAAGGATTTAGATGCCCTATGGAGGGGGGACTACCTGTGCCCTGTCCTATCCCATCCCAGGAGGGTGACAACTCCTGGTCACAAAGATGCACACTAGCCAGTGAAATTCTCCGACACAACTGGCACACATAAGGTCCTACACTTTCCAAAGGCCCTTCCTACTTGTGACCGAAAGTATATTTTACAACTGATTCTGCCCTTTCAGACCATCGGACTGTCCAGGCCCATCTGCTCTGGGCACCGGGAGACAAGTGCGCCCCAGAATTCTAGCGCGCCACGGAATCCCAGCAAATCCGTGGGTTGCCTCCAAAACTCTCCTCTATGAAAGCACAGGACATTCTGCAGTGTTTTCTCCAAGTCCCTCAGCGGAAGGTTTGAGTGTAAAACAGAAAAGCCCACCTGCTTGATGTTTTCATCCTTGACACAGTTGGTAAAAATGACGTTTTTTAGGCCTTCTCTTTCCAAGTGTTGTAAAATTTTCTGAAAGAGATATTTCTATTTTAATACTAAGTAAAAATAGGGGTGGCATAACACCCTACGATCTGAGGATCTGAGATTGCCCAGGCATGCGCTCGAGCTCAGAGCCCCTGGGGCTGGGGACACAGGGAGGATTGATTAGGCCAGACATGGGGATTCAGGTGACGGGGCACCGAGAGAGGGCAGTGCAGACTGTGTGAGGGGACTTGAGAGGGCAGCCTGGCCCCACCAGTGGCCCAGAGCAGCTGGCTCCGTGTAAGGACAGGAGGGAAGAGCCAGTCTCAGTCAGAGGGCTCTAGGCTCCACCAGAGGTGAGCATCCCACCTTCTTGGGACCCCAGGGCCTTCTTATGATGAGGCTAACCTAGGTTCTTCTGAAGCCGAATCAGGCACTGAAATACTAGTTTCATTTCCCGTTAGTATTTTCGTCACTCTTGTGCATTCTAACAAGCTTTCACAAAGTGAACTCCACTTTAAGGTTTGAACCCAGTCTGATTATAAAGTATATGGAATACTTTAAAAGACTGAAAGTAGCCGAAACCGGTTTGGCTCAATGGATAGAGCATCGGCCTGCGGACTGAAAGGTCCCGGGTTCGATTCCGGTCAAGGGCACCTTCCGGTCACACAGCAGGCAGGAGGCGATCTGCAGCCAGGCCGGGGCATTCTGGAAGACCCTGGAATTGGTGAATGTGGACACCCGGGGGAAAGCAGCCAGCACAGGAGACCTCCAGGCCAGTGCTGTCCAGGCCTGCGGCCAACAGCCTCATGTGGCCACTGAAACTTAAACTAATTAAAATGAAATCATGTGAAGGTCAATTCCGCAGCCACAAGAGCCACATTTCAAGTGCTCAGAGTCACATGTGTGCCCTGGGCTCCAGCAGCACCTCCTGGCCTCTTCCCCTGGGAGACACACATGAATGACTGGGACCATAAATTACACGTTTGAGGAAACACGCAGGCGAAGGGTGAGTGCCAAAGCCTGCCTGCCTGCCTGCCTGGCCGGCAAACTCAAGTGTCTCAGCAGCGACTGTCATCGGGGCCAAGCGAGCCAGGGCCGAGGCAGCTGAGGGGCCTTACCTGCTTCTCCGTCAGATCCGCCAAGTCCATTTTGTTGAGGACGAGCAAGTGAGGCTTAACCCCGAGGGTTTCCTGAAACAGAGGGTTGCGCCCCGAAAGTGGGATGTGGCAAAATCAAGGCAAAAATTCCTTCAGAGCTTTACCAGCCGGTTAATTTATTCTGTCTCGCTGCCCAGGTTGCACCAGCTCAGAAGGAAATGGTTATTAGAAGGAGCCGTCTCAGGGCGAGCACACACCCAGCTCACTTTCTGGGAGCTGGGACCCAGCCCCTGTGCTTCCCTCCCCCACAGCCACGGAGCCACGGACACTGCTCCCTGTAGCCAAGAGGCGACAGGCAGGGCAGTGGCTCTCACGTGGCTTCTCAAATGGGAATGATGGTGACGAAAACAAGGCTCAGTGGGAGGTTTTAAAACTAGACTATTGTTTGGTTATCAAGGTACGAAAGTTTAAAATGGGTATCTGATCACCCAGAAAAGTGACAACCTAACTAGTGTCTCTCACATCGTCATTGCCTCCTCCAGTGACCACTGAGACCCCCAAGTCTTCTCTGTGGCAAGACTCTCCCCAAATCTCCATGTGTTCACCAACCCGGAAGCTCTCTGAACCTCATTTGGATTTTATGGCAGCTTCATTACTCAGGCAAGATGAAATCACTGGCCACTGGAGGCCAATTCACCCTCCAGCCCCTCTCCCTCCTAGAGGTCAGGGGTTAGAACTGGGAACACAAATCAGATGGGTTTCCAGGAACCAACCCCGAAAAGCCATCTCATTAACATAACAAAGGATACCTTAGTCTCTCTCATCCCTAAGGACCACGGTCGGCAAACTGTGGCTCTTGAGCCACATGCGGCTCTTTGGCCCCTTGAGTGTGGCTCTTCCACAAAATACCACGGCCTGGGCAAGTCTATTTTGAAGAAGTGGCGTTAAAAGAAGTTTAAGTTTAAAAAATTTGTCTCTCAAAAGAAATATCAATCGTTGTACTGTTGATATTTGGCTCTATTGAGTTTGCCGACCACTATCTGGGGACATTCCAAGAGTTTTTGGAGCTCCAGCCAAAAATGGGGACAAAGGCTAAATATGTATTTGTTAATATAAGTTCCAATATCACAACCAGCAAAGGATATCCGGGCATCGTGGACCTCGATGATGCAGTCCACCAGCTTCAGGCTGCTCTGCATCTTCTTCAGCCCTGGAAAACAGAACACCTAAGAGGCAAGGGGTCCGAGGCCTTTCGAGAGTGCTACAACCTTTAAGCTGATCGGTCAAGAATGACACCACAATCGCCTAAAAAGAACATCTCTGAGGGATGTGCTCAAATAAGTATGCCTGATAACCATTTGCTGGGCCTTTCCTTCAAGTTCAACAGCAGTGCCCTGCCTCAAACCTCTCACCTCACCCCTTCTTCCAGCATTTGGCAGGAGCCTGGCATGGTGGACACTGGGTCACTATTTAAGGTGAATCTGAGAGACTCCGAGGCCTGGAGCAGGGAGGCCAGTGGCAAACAGGACACAGAGAGGAGCTGGGCGGGTCCCAAAAGTCTCTGAGGGCCACATGTTGACAAACACTAAGAACCTCTCAGAGAGGTTTAGGCAGGAAACAAGAAATGACTGCGTTTTAAGGTGCTGCAGTGAAAGCACTTTTGGAAAGTACTTTCCTGCCCCTAGTCCCTTTGGTCCTCAAAATAATACCCAGGAATATTACTTTCTTTAAAAGAAGATGTAGACACTGAGACTTCGGGGAATAAAGTGGCAGAAGGGCCTTGCCTAAGATGATCAGACGTGCTGATTTTTAACAATTTGTCCCGCGTCCCACAGCGTTTTTAGAAAGTCCCGATTTTTTTAAAATATATATTTTATTGATTTTGTACAGAGAGGGAGAGAGATAGAGTTAGAAACATCAGTGAGAGAGAGTCATCAATCCCCTACTGAGGATATGCCCGCAACCAAGGCACATGCCCTTGACCGGAATGGAACCCGGGTCCTTTCAGTCCCCAAGCCGACGCTCTATCATTGAGCCACACCGGTTTCGGCATTTTGGAACGCCGGGGAAAAAAAAGAAAAAAAGAAAGATTCTTTTAAATCTTTTGGACTTTCTTAAAACGCCGCGGGAGGCGGGGCAAATGGTTGAAAATCGGGACTGTCCCGCCGAAAGCGGGACGTTGGGTCGGTCCCCTTAGCCCTGGATCAGGATCAGGTCACTCCCGCCGAGCGCTCGCGGGGCGCCGCCGCCCCCCGCCCGGCCTCACCTTTGGCCATGTGGCCCGGGAACCAGCGCGCCACATCGTGGCCCCCCAGAGGGAAGCTCTCCCGCCAGGCGGCCCCGACGGCGCTGCACAGGGCGCGCGGGGCCAGCCTCATCGCACCGCGTCCCACACACCGCGCAGCGCGGGGGGACCGCTCCGGCCACGGACCTCCCCGCGGGGCCCGCAGCCCCGGCCGAAGGTTCCGGCGCTCCGAGGTTCCGGCGCTTGAGTGACACTCAACGCCCCGCGCGTGCGCACAACGCGGCCCTCAGCGGCGGGCGGGACCTAAGCGGCGGGGCCCCGCGCCGGGGCGGGAGTTTAGCGGTCTCGGCTCCTTTTTACAAACCTGGTTAAAATTTTCAAGTTTACCGTGTGAATGGATTATGCCCCCGCCCCCAAGTGCTCCAGGTTTTAATGTGGCAGACACTGAGTGACACAATGAGTTATACAGCCAGTCCTCACTGTCCCTGTGACCTGGTCGGGGTCCCAGCAACTACTCAATCCCACACCGAGTTACAAAACTATTCCTCTAACGGGATTTTTGGAACGAGCTTATAACATTCAACATGCTCAGATTCTCAACACAAAAACATCTTCACGGGGGTCTTGGTGGTCTTAAATTCCCTAACACTCGGCGCTAACCACCCCTGGCGCAGAGACAGGTCCTGCCAGGTGGCCTCCCTGCTGACGAGCCTCCTGATGAGTCAGGACCCTGTGAGGACCCATCTCCCCAGTTTCTTCTCACTCAGCAGCCTGCATCCTGCCTCTGCCTTTTGGGATACAGAAATGCCTCCCCAGGCCTCATGCCTTGATGAAACGGTGGGCGTTAACCATCCATAACTGTGCATCTGATGGGAGCTGCGTCGTTTCTTAGCCTCGGACCATGAACCGGAAACAAACCCCTGCTGAAGTCTGGGCTCCTCTCACAGCTTTCTGCCTGGAAGCTGTCCAAGCAAAACCACTCCAGCTGCACAAAGCCGTGGGCACACATACAGCTCCGGGGCAGGGGCAGGAAGACCCCTTGAGGGGCGATTTGACCCAAGACAGGAAGGATAGGGGCTATGCCAACACACCCCAACATCGCCCAGAGCACCCCTAGCACACTCTTCTCCCTCACCCTCACTCACCCGGCTACCCTGTCCCTCTGCACTCTTGAGGCCTCATTGTTTGTTCACTTCCTTCAGAAATCCTCAGGATGGGGTGCCTCCTGTGCCCTCCCATCTCCCACTTGCTGGCCCTCAGAAACACCTGAAGATGCCCAGGACAAGGGCAACCACAACACCCAGAGTCCAGGGCCCTGCAATGACTGGGCCGGGAGGGGGCGGGGGGTCGAAGGCAGAAGCCACAAATGCTACAGCCTTGAGGCCTAAGGACGACTCTGGACACAGAGGTTTTGACACACTTTATGTGAGCCCCAGCATCAGCAGCTGGTCACACCTGTCCCACTTCTCCAGGAAGACTCCTCCCCCTCTCCTCCAGCTCCAGCTCAGCCATGGCCGAATCAGTGACAGTCGTGAAAAATGAGAGCAGTGACCCGTATCAACACATCCCAAGTCTCAGCCAGGCTGGACAGGGGACAGGATGTGGCAGCCTCCCCTGGCAAGGGAGGAGCGGGCTGGCTCAGAGCCTGGGGCCTTGCAGCTGCGCCTCGGCGTCCAGCAGCTCGATGAGCCGGTCAGCCTCCCTCCAGCCAGAGAGCAGAGCCCCGTGCGTGGTCGAGTAGAACGTCCGATGGGTGGCTTCTCCTGCGAACAGGATCTGGAGCTGTGGAGAAGGGTGGGGTTAGATCGGGGTGCTGGGGTCGAGCAACAAGCCACCTGCCTTCCACGTGTGGCTGCAGAGCTGAGGGTGGGGAGGTGGCTTTGTTCCTCACCTAACCCCACACCCTGATGTGGCCCCAAAACAAGAGCAGGTACACCGAAACTGGTTTGGCTCAGTGGATAGAGCGTCGGCCTGCGGACTGAAAGGTCCCGGGTTCGATTCCGATCAAGAGCACGTACCTTGGTTGTGGGCACATCTCCAGTGGGGATGTGTGCAAGAGGCAGCTGGTCGATGACTCTCTCTCATCGATGTTTCTAACTCTCTATCTCTCTTAATTCCTCTCTGTGTAAAATCAATAAAATATATTAAAAAAAAAAAAAAAGAGCGGGTACTTCTCGCGGAAACAGGGCTCACACAGCACACATTTGGAACTAAACGTGATCACAAAATGGAAAATGCAACAGCGGGCCTGGGAGACAAGGCGGAGAACATCCCCCAACATGCAGACCAAAAAACAGAGATAGAAATGAGGAGAGAAAAAGATAAGAATATTTGAGGACCAGTCCAGAAGTCTACCGTTCAAACAACAGAAATTTGGGGGGGGAGGAGAGGGAGAGAAAAGAAGAGAAAGAAGAGAAGATGAGATGAATCACAAGAACTTCCCAGCTGACTGAGGGGCTCAAGGCAAGCCATGTGAAGTGAGTGGGCGCCCAGCGAGGGTGGCATGCCCATGGGCGTTGGAGCCTAATGCTCTTCTAAGCTTCCTGGGAGTTTGGGACACTAGGAAGAAAGGACTAAGAAAGGCCGGGACCGGTTTGGCTCAATGGATAGAGCGTCGGCTTGGGGACTGAAGGGCCCCGGGTTCGATTCCGGTCAAGGGCATGTACCTTGGTTGCGGGCATATCCCCAGTAGGGGGTGTGCAAGAGGCAACTGATCAATGACTCTCTCTCATTGATGTTTCGAACTCTCTATCTCTCTCCCTTCCACTCTGTACAAAAATCAATAAAATATATATTTAAAAAAAAAAAAAAAAAGGACTAAGAAAGGACTGCAAATGGTTTTGGACTTCCCGATAGCAACACTGGAAAATGTTCCAAACCCTGAGGGGCATGACTCTCAAACCACGATTTTATAGCCAAACCACGAGACTCCTACAGAAAGGTGGGGTCCAGGTCTGCCCCGGGATGGTGCCTTCTGATTCCTCAGCGTGGCCACAGGGGGCAATGCAGCCGCCCAGTCCACTGGGATGCCTGTCCTGAATGAAGCCCTGGGGAGCCACACGAGCATGTGCCTTGGGGCTATGTGGATGTAGAGTTCTGATGAAAATAATACATTTTCAAAGTATTTTTAATTTTTTTTTTAAATGGGGGGAGGGGAAGGGATTCTCCTGGCCGGCATGGCTCCGTAGTTGAGCATCGACCTATGAACCAGGAAGTCACAGTTTGATTCCCAGTCAAAGCACATGCCCGGGTTGTGGCCTTGATCACCAGTGTGAGGTGTGCAGGAGGCAATGATTCTCTCTCATCATTGATGCTTCCCTTCTTCTCTGAAACCAATAAAAATATTTTTAAAAAAAAAGTGATTCTGAGTCTCAGGGGTCCCAGCCCCACCCACACTCTCGTGTTCCAGCGGGACCCGGTGCCTTCCCACCCAGGGGCCACCTCATACCGGGGCCTTCTCTGGGTCCGCAGGGAGCGGTTGAGCCAGCAGGTCAATGTCATCCCCGCTGGTGCCCACGGCCACGTAGCTGTAGGATCCTCGGGAGTAGGGAGCGCTGTGCCAGCGAGACCTCAGCACGCTCTTGGGCGCGGGGAGCTGTGGGTTCCCTGAAGCACAGAGAGGCCACACGTGAACCGGGGCTCCTCCCACAAGTCTGCAAGGGGGCCTTCGTTTTCAAGACTGAGCAGCTCAAAATGAAAGAAACTGCCCAGGAAGAAAACCAAGCCATGAAGCGTATGAATAAGAGGCTCTCCCAGTCTTATCCGCTGTCCAACCGGGGACGCCATCACTGCATCCTCACCGCCCCCCCCACCTCCACTCCCTGTGACCATGTGGTCACTGTGCTCTGTCTGAGCCTCCACGTCTCATCTAGAAAGCCCTGATGAAGAGCCCCTGTGCTTTAGAAAAGGGAAGTGGAAAGAATGTGTTCGCAAAACCATTTCAACAAGAACTCAGATGAGTGACCCCCACCAGTATAAGGAAGGATCGCCCCTGGAGGTTCATGGAGGCAAACTCAGCGCTTCCCTGTCAGGAAGCTTGGTTTCCCTTTAGCGGCCACACAACAAGGAGCGCGAGGCAGAGCCGGGGCCATGCTCGCCCGTACCTGTCACCCGGCGAAGCACGCGGGTCAGAGCCTGAAGCACCTCCTCGTCCGACAGCGTCTCCATGAACTCGGACTCAAGTCCGGCGATGAACCCGCAGAGGACGTGGGAAGACCTACGTGAGAACACACCGCCGAGACAAGCCACGTCGGGCTTTGCCGGAAACATCAGTCTCTCCCTCCCTAAGGATTCATGTTCTTATTTCTGAGTGAGCACCGAGCCCACACACATTGCTGTGTGTAGGCTGCACGTCTGGGACACACGACTTAGCCCTTCAAGTGTGGGTCTCCGATCCCGGGGCTTACAAGGATGCTTTGTTCAATTACCGCATCGGGTTTAAGCACTGCCTCCCGTTATAGACATGCCCACGTCTCAGACTTCTTCTGTGACCTACAAGCCTGGATTTCAGCAAATACTTTCTTACCAACTAAACATGCCTTCCGTCCACCGGCACGTTCTGTGCCTTGGCAACGCTGACAAGCCACACCCAGCGTGTGCCCATCTGCCCCACGGGGGTTAGGCCCAGGCAGTTAGGCCCAGGGCACTCTCAGGATCCCCACCATTAAGCCCTCCAGACACCTCACAGGGAATCAACACACTGTTGGATCCCCAACCCAAACGACGCCGAGGAGCCAGCCCCGCTCAGCCCTCACGCTTCCTCAGAGAAAGGGGGCGCGGACATACTCGAAGGAAGGCAGGACCAAGAAGCCAATCAGCTTCTTGACCCAGGCGTCCTGCATCGGGTCAGCGGTGTCCTCCAGGGGCGATGTGTCCTCCCACACCACCTGGATGTGCTCGCAGTCCGGCTCCCAGAAGGGCTCTTCGAACTCCAGGAAGATCTTATTGTTCGTCCCAAAGCCCATCTTCCGGATGGCTTCTGCCTTCTCGGCAGGCAGGGGCGGCTGGAAGAAGGTGTCCAGATGTTCCTTAAGAAAACCTGGAATTTACCATTGGACTCGACTTACACCACAGAAATATCCTTAGCTGGGATCAGCCACCACAGAAACCCAATATATAATATTTTATTATATATATATTCTAATATATATATATATATATATATATATATTTAAAAAATTTTTTTTATTGATTTCAGAGAGGAAGGGAGAGGGAGAGAGAGAGAAACATCAATGATGAGAGAGAATCACTGATGGGCTGCCTCCTGCACATCTCACACTGGGGATTGAGCCACAACCCAGGTATATGCCATGACAGAAAATTGAACGTGACCTCCTAGTTCATAGGTCGATGCTCAACCACTGAGCCATGCTGTCTGGACCACACAAGTATATTTATGGAGTTGTGTAACAATCATCATTATCAAGCTTAGACCATGTGTTCTTAAACACACATGTATAACATGGTGTGAGACAGAAAAAGTAAAAGCAACCTAAATTTCCAACCGTATCTATAAAAATAAAAGCATAATATGCTAATTAGACCAGATGGCCAAACAGTGGAATGACCTCCAGATGACCTTCTGGATGAAGCCGGGGCTGGGAGGGCTGAGGCAGGCATTTCTGATTTTCATGCTCTGGGCCTCTAGTTAAGTAATGTTAAGCAATGGCACCTGCATAGAAGAAAATTCTATGTAGCTGTAAAGAACAGGCCCTGGCTCCCTGTATGGACAGTCATAACAATGCTCCTACTGATCCCAGCAAAGGCTCAGCAAGCACCAGCAACTATGAATGAACAAAGAGGGAAAAGAAGAAATAAAGAAAGAAAGAAGAAAGAAAGAAAGGAAGAAAGAGGGAGGGAGGTGGAGGGAGGGAGAGAAGAAGAGAGAAAAAGAGAGAAGAGGAGAGGAGAGGAGAGGAGAGGGGAGGGGAGGAGAGGGGAGGGGAGGGGAGGGGAGGGGAGGGAGGCACATGGAGTAGCAGAACAAGATTCCACTTGTGGGACGCGTAGGAGACTTTATTTAAGTCACTTCTGGCTCCTGCTAGCTTTGTGAACTTGGGCAACTGACTAATCTCTGTTGACTTTTGAGGACTTATCTGGGGTCAGGGAAGTCCTCAGGCTGCCTTGGGGGTAAAAGAGACAACCTGGCCAAAATCTGATCCCAATCATCTCCACTTTTCAAATTGCCCACTCCTACTCACAATCTCCATCAAAAGCATCAGCTCTAGAATTAAATAGATTATGCACTGGCTCCTTCCTTGATGACGGCAGCACTTAACTTGAGGTGTGGCTTTCACGCTGTCCCCCAGGGGAACCTCCATCAGGCCTCCCAGCCTTTCCAGAAAATACCTCCGAAGGATGACGACAGCTGGCTTCCCTTTTCTTTATTTCCTATGCATGGGATTGCTACAGAGTCATTCTCTCCAAGGCTTAGAATGCAAATGTGAGCTTAGCAGAAACCGGTTTGGCTCAGTGGATAGAGCGTAGGCATGCCGACTGAAATTCCGGTCAAGGGCATGTCCCTTGGTTGTGGGCACAACCCCAGGGTGGGGGGAGTGGGGGGGTGCAAGAGGCAGCTGATCGATGATTCTCTCTCATCGACGTTTCTAACTCTCTATCCCTCTCTCTTCCTCTCTGTAAAAAATCAATAATATATATATATACACACATACACACACACACACACACATATATATATATATATATATATTTTTTTTTTTTTTTTTTTTTTTTTTTTAATGTGAGCTTAGTAGCCAGGCACAGCCCCAGCGCCCACTGGGGCGGGACAGAGCCTGCAGCAGGGGCAGCCGGGGCAGAGAGAGAGGAAGCCCTGACGGGATGGTGACCTTACCTAAGGGCACGGTAAGGATCACGTGATGTGCTGGGAAGTAGTGTCCGTCCTCACACTCCACCAGCACTGTAAACCTCTCCCCATGAGACTCAGCTACTTGGAAGTTCGCGTTCCAGTGGATGGTCTTCACGGGCTTGTCAAACACCATCACGTCCGGGGGCAAGGAGGCCATGATGCGGTCTGTGAGTCCTTGGTAGCCCCTGGGAGAGACAGGGTGTTGGCACGGAGGAGAGGGCAGCCCTCCGAGAAGCTGCTGCAGCTCTGTCCCCACCTGGGCTCGGCTGCGCCCTCACCCAGTGGTTTCTGAGCTGCCACAGGAATGTTAACACCTGGCTCCTGGCGAGGGGGAGGATGAAGTGGGCAAAGTTCCCGAGGAGGGAACAAGGTCCCTGCTGCCTGCCCAGCCCTCGGGCTCCGCACGAAGGCCCTTCCCTGTGCATGGGCCCTGGAGGGCCTGGGAGTGCCCCCTGGGAAGGTCTCACTAGTGCCTGGGGGCAGACTGAGTCCCCTTGACCCTCCCACCACTCCCCTGCCACAGAAAAGGGCCCCTCATTCCGTGCTAAGTGCCTGAGGGGCCTCGTAAACATGGGAGGAAGAAAGCTTTACAAGATGCATTTCCTTTTAATCACTTGTTCTGATAAATTAATTATCTCCCTTTTCTTAAATGAGAAAAATTAGAGAAACAAAATGACCAACTTTCTAAAATGAGAAAGTCCTGGCTGGTTTGGCTCAGTGGATAGAGCGTTGGCATGCAGGCTGAAGGGTCCCAGGTTCAATTCTGGTCAACGGCACATGCCTGGGGTGACAGGCTCAATCCCCAGTAGGAGGCATGCAGGAGGCAGCCCATCAATGAGTCTCTCTTATTAATGTTTCTGTCTCTCTCTTCATCTCTGAAATCAATAAAGATATATTTTAAAAAATAATAAACATAAAAAAGAGAAGACAGCTGAAACCGGTTTGGCTCAGTGGATAGAGCATCGGCCTGTGGACTGAAGGGTCCCAGGTTCGATTCTGGTCAAGGGCAAGTACCTTGGTTGCAGGTGTGCAGGAGGCAGCTGGTTGATGTTTCTCTCTCATCAATGTTTCTAAAAAAATATATTTTATTGATTTTTTACAGAGAGGAAGGGAGAGAGATAGAGAGCTAGAAACGTCGATGAGAGAGAAACATCGACCAGCTGCCTCTTGCACACCCCCTACCAGGGATATGCCCGGCAACCAACGTACATGCCCCGGACCGGAATCGAACCCGGAACCTTTCAGTCTGCAGACCGACGCTCTACCACTGAGCCAAACTGGTTTCGGCTCATCGATGTTTCTAGCTATCTATCCCTTTCCCTTCCTCTCTGTGAAAAAAATCAATAAAAATATATTTTTTTTAAAAAAGAGAGAGAAGACAAAAGTCCCCCTTGACCCTCCCACCATTCCCCTGCTTCCCAAAGCTCCACCTGAGATACATGGGGGGAGGGGAGGGCTGGGCAGCAGGGAGGGGGCCTGGGGGGGGGTGCGTGGAAGGGGGTTGGGGGGAGTGGAAGGCTGCCTGGGTGGCTGTGGCGCACACGTACCCGGGAAAAGTGCAGTCCAGCCCTGGCAGCACGGTGTACTCCCCAAAGGGAGCGAGGGCCACCAGGTCCATGCTGTGGGTGCCGCTCACACAGCACTCGATGTTTAAGAAGTTCTTCAGAATGGCCAGCTTGAGCTTCTTGGTCTCCTCGTCCTCTGTCCAGCCGGCCACGTGCTGGCGGATCTCCTTCCTGAGGAACTCCCCCACGCTGGGCACCGGGGCCTCGGCCGCCTGCAGGAACTCCCGGGACCGGTCTATGAGGCTGTAGTACAGGTGGCCCATCTCCACCACCAGCCCGAGGCTCACGCTCTCCCCGGAGCTGGCGTAGGACACGGAGGGCAGCGCCACGTGGCCTCCGGTGTCGATCCTCTGGTTCTCCTCTGACAGCTCCTTGTCCCCCAGCAGCCCGTACTGGGCAGCCAGCTGGAAGACGGGGTTGCCCTGAGAGGGCCCGTGGATCCAGTGAGCGCCTACCTCCACCACACCACCTGGGAGGGGACACCAATGCCACCTTGAGGGTCTGTCCCCACCAAGGTGAACCCTGAGCCCTTCTCCTGGACCACAGCCAGCTCTGCCTCTTCCCAAATGCTCTGAAAACTCCCCCCAGGGCCACGGGTCCCTGAGGACCATAGTCCCTCACCCAAGGGCCTGGCCCGACCCAGATGAAGGGGTACGCCCAAGGAGGGGGAGCTGCCTGGGGAGCACCTGGAGGGATGACCTGGGACCTCGCCCAGGCTGCGGGGGGCACGGTCAGGGGGTACCTGCCCGCAGGGACGGCCCTGCCAGCTACGGGGCAGCTAGGTCTCAGGGACCAGGAACTTGGGCAGATTAACGGGGCGCGGCGGGGATCCCCCGGGGGCAGGTAAGGCTTCCGGGTCGGGTAAGCCTGGGCGCAGGCCGGCCCGGAGGCGGCGGGGCGGGCGGCCGGCTGGGACCCGGGGATGGGCTGGGGCGGGGGGTCGGGGGAGGCCGTTACCGAAGCTGCGCTCCGAGCGGATGCGGCCCCCGGCGCGGGCCGTGGCCTCCAGGACCCGCAGGTGGCGGACGGCCGGGTGGCGGCAGAGCCTCTGCGCGGCCCCCAGCCCCGCGATGCCGCCGCCCACCACCACCACCCGCGGCCCGCGGCCCGCAGCCCCCTGGCCGCCGCCGGGCTCCATGGCGGGTTCCAGGCGGCCCTGCGCGCTCCCCGCCGGAGGGGCCGATAAGCGGGCGGCCGGGAGGCGGGGCCGCCTCCTGCGGCTCCTCCCCGGCCACCTGCCCATCTGGCTGAGCCAGATCAGGCTGGCCTTTTTAATTTTTTGTAAACGGCTTTTTAAAAATATATATTTTATTGATTTTTTTACAGAGAGGAAGGGAGAGGGATAGTTAAAAACATCAACCAGCTGCCTCCTGCACACCCCCACCACCCGGGATGTGCCTGTAACCAAGGGACCTGTCCCTGGCCAGAATGGAACCTGGGACCCCTCCCCCCTCCCCCCAGTCCGCAGACCCACGCTCTATCCACTGAGCCAAACCGGTATCGGCTGTAAACGGCTTTATTGATTAGAAGTCACATATCATACATGTCACCCAGTTAACGTGTGCAGCTCACCATTTTAGTGTGTTTATAGAGGTGTGTGACGATCACCACTACCAGGCTTAGACCACTTCCATCACCCCGAAAAGAAACACCTGAACGGTGCTCCACAGCCCCACCGGCGGCCTCTGGCACTCCACGGGCCCACTCCCTGCCTCTATGGATCTGTCTGTTCTGAACGTTTCCTATAAATGGAGTCATGCACTTTGTGGCTTCTTTCACTCAGCATAATGTTCTCAGGGTTCACCCACATCAGAGCGTATAGCATGTGTCAGTACACGTCATTTCTTTTTATTGTCAAATAACATTCCTTGGTATATCCTCATGTACCACTGTATGAAGAGCCCACATTTTGTGCATTTATTCATGAACCGATGGGCAATTTTCCTCCACTTTTCAGCTGTTCTGAATAATGCTATGAGCATTCATGTACGAATTCTGTGTAGACATATGTGTTCACTTCTCAAATATATGTAGGGATGGAATTGCTGGGTCATATAGGGATTTTAACTTTTGAGGAACTGCCACACGTTTCCAAAGTGCCTGCATCATTTTACATCCCCACTGGCAGTGCATGGTGATTCGTTTCTCCACACCCTCACCAGAACTTACCATTGTCTGTCTTCTTAGCCATCCTGGTAGCATGAAGCAGAATCTCGTGGTTTTGATCTGTGTTTCCCCAATGACTAATGATGTTGAGCATTATTTTGTGTGCTTATTAGCCATTGGTATGTCTTTATTGGAGAAATGTTTCTTCAATAGGTTACCCATGTTAAAAAAGATATTTTATTGATTTTTTTACAGAAAGGAAGGGAGAAGGAGTGTTAGAAACATTGATGAGAGAGAAACATCAATCAGCTCTTCCTGCACACCTCCTACTGGGGATGTGCCCACAACCAAGGTACATGCCCTTGACCAGAATTGAACCTGGGACCCTTCAGTCCCCTGGCCTAAGTTCTATCCACTGAGCCAAACCATGTTAGGGCATGTTACCCATTTTCAATTAGTTTGTCTTTTTGTTATTGAGTTCAAAGTGTTATTTAAATAAACATTTTCATTATTAAAAATTTTTTGTTTTTAAAAATATATTTTATTGATTTTTTACAGAGAGGAAGGGAGAGGGATAGAGAGCTAGAAACGTCGATGAGAGAGAAACATCGACCAGCTGCCTCTTGCACAACCCCCACCGGGGATGTGCCCGCAACCAATGTACATGCCCTTGACAGGAATCGAACCCGGGACCTTTCAGTCCCCAGACCGACACTCTACCACTGAGCCAAACCGGTTTTGGCTCATTATTAAAATTTAATGAAAGCTTATATTTGTAAAAGTAAAACTTTTCATAATCTAGTATTCAATAGCTATCTATTTGCCAAAAAATCAGCATTGTGTTGCCTGACTGGTGTGGTGAGTCAGTGGTTGAGTATTGGCCCATGAACCGGAAGTCATGGTTTGATTCCTGATCAGGGCACATGCCTGAGTTTTAGGCTCAATCCCCAATCGGGGGTATGCAGGAGGCAGCTGATTGGTGTTTCTCTCCCTATCCTTCTCCCTTCCTCTCTCTAAAATCAATTTTAAAATGTTTTTAAATCTTTATTGTTGAGGGCATTAGATAAAAAAAAAAATTTTTTTTTAAAAAGAATCAGCATCACTACATGCCTGTTCCATTTAGACCTATAAATACATAAATATATCCATTTCAGAGTGATATGCATTGTTCAATATTTCTCAGGCACCTTGTACAACTACTGTGAATAACTCACTACTTCATGAGTACCTCTGGGCCGCCAGCCAGCCAGGCAGAGGAATAAGAAAAGGAATGTCTGTCTTTTCCTTGTCTAAACCCTCAGCTCTCCGCACAGCAGATTTACCTGGTTTCTACCATCAGCCGCTCTTCATGGAGGGCGTTGGGAAAAGGAGCTATTGATCCTGAGAGCAGATTTCAGGCTCACAGGTTGTGTCCCTCCTGCAAGGAGGGCGCTCCAGAGCCTATTCATTCCCTAATACGGTTGGATTTCTGTGCCAGACAGCTTGCGTGCAGCTCAAAGTCCGGGCTTCCTGGGAACCCAGGTGTGGCTGGCCTCACACACCCGGGATTATGGTGGGGCGAGGGCCGACGGCCGAGGGCCAAGCCGGCACACACCTCTGTCCAAGGGAAGCAAGGAGGCAACGGCCCCGGGTGGAGACCGAGGCGTGGCTGGACAGAAGCCGCAGGCCACGCCCGGCGTTCCGGGCCTAGGTCAGCCGGGGTCGCCGAGGTCCCCCGAGGACGCTTAAACCCCGCCGGGCTCGGGCGGGCGCCCTCCATGCGGGGTGGGGCACGGCCCCGGGCAGGCGGGCCCCCAAGGCACCAGGGGTCCGCACTCAGAGGCCTCGGGGCTACTTCCAACCGCTTAGAGTCAGCCGGCCGGGGCGGGGGTGTGACACCACCGACCCAACTTCCGCCCCCAGGCCCTCGTCCCCGCCCCGCCCCTCCGCCCCTCCCTCCCTTCCGGCTCGTGGCCACGCCCCAGTCTCCCGGACTGATCTCGCGATACGTGCGCGGCCTCGCGAGGCCGGGCTGTGGGCGAGGCCGGGCTGTGGGCGGGGCCGGCTGTGGGCGGGGCGTGCCCTGAATGGCTCGGCCAGGGGCGGCGCCGTGGGCGGGGCGAGTCGTCCCCGGAGCGCCATGGCCGCGGTGCGTGTCCTGCTGCTCCGGGCCCGCGGCCCGCTGCTCCCCGCTGCCGGCCGCATGGCGCTGCGCCCCTTCGCCTCGGGTGAGTGCGGGTGGGGCCGCCGCCGCGCCGCGCTGAGCCCTGGGGGTCGGTCGGGGCCGGTCGTGTTTGGAGCCGGCTGGGTTCGCCTGACTAAGGGAGCGCCGCGGGCATGGCAGTGGTCGCCGTGCGGTCCTGCCCGGTCCTTTCCCTTCACCCCTCTATCCAGGTCACGACCCAAGTTTAAGGTGATCGGCCGTCCCGCTTTTGGCGGGACAGTCCCGATTTCTAACAATTTGCCCCGCGTCCCGCAGCGTTTTAAAAAAGTCCCAAGTTTTGGAAAGATTCTTTCCCAAAATCGGGACTGTTTTAAAACGCCGCGGGACGCGGAACAAACTGTTAAGAATCGGGACGTCCAGTCACCTTACCAAGTACCGAGTCGTGTCGGTGTTGCCCCGAGTTCTCCTTGACCCTCCTGCCCCCTGGCTGCAATCAGCCACCGTTTCCAGGTCCCGGATAGGCAGCTCGCTGCCGCTCAACACCTTACCTGGTATTCCCGTTTCTCCCCAGCAAGCCCACTGTGATCCCTGGGGCAGGTACTGTGATCCGTGTTACCGTTCACGAAAGTGGCCTCTCCAACATGCAGACACACACACACACATACACACACACACACACACACACACGCCTTTGTCTCCTCAGGGTTACCCTCTTCCTCTCCAGGTCATTGCTGTCCCCCACGTCTGAGCGGACAGTTGCAGGTGGTAGAAGTCACCTGTCTGTGCCTGTGTGTGCCGCCACCACATGGTCCACTCAGCAAGGCCAGACTCTGTTCTGTTCACAGTTTAAGCCCCTTCACCTAGTTGGCATTGGTTGAAAACATGAATTCCTCCTCCCCTTGTTTCTGCGGAATCACAAGTCTTTCATGCTGCGGAGGCCTTCAGAAGGAAGGCTGCTGTTCATGGCTGTTTTTTGTTGTTGTTGTTGTTGTTGTTAAGGAAAGATTCAGACATCAGTGGAAGCAGAGAGGTGGAAAGGCCACCGTGTGGCGGAGAGCTGCGTGCCGCAGCCTCCAGGGACTAGTCAGGGGTCCCTCAAGTCTGTCCAGGTCACTGTGTCCACTGATGGGGATACAACACCTCCTCCCCCCAGTCTGGTGCCTGTATGAGTAAAAATACCTCCTTTCTTCTGTCCCAGGGGCTAACTTTGAGTACATCGTCTCAGAAAAGAAGGGGAAGAACCAAAACGTGGGGCTGATCCGACTGAACCGCCCCAAAGCACTCAACGCGCTCTGCGACGGCCTCATCAGGGAGCTCAACCAGGCGCTGGAGGCCTTTGAGAAGGACCCAGCCGTGGGGGCCATCGTCCTCACGGGCGGGGAGAAGGCCTTCGCAGGTGCGGGGGCAGCGTGGTGGCGGGCACCCAGGTGGACGAGGGGTGGTCGGACCGTGATCCCGCCCACGGTGTGGTGTTGTAGGCAGACTCACACCTCTGAGGTAGGGTCAGAAGAGCTCGTACAACTTGGGGTTGACTTACATGTGAAATGGAAATGGGCTGGGGCAGTGGTCGGCAAACTGTGGTTTGCCGCTCTGTTGACTAACCAGTTTGCCGACCACTGACCTAGACTCTCGATTCCAGTAATTACAGGCTGTTGTTGTTCCCTGTGATGAAGCCCCTATCCCAGTGGTCGGCAAACTCATTAGTCAACAGAGGGGCAAACCGCGGCTCCCGAGCCGCGTGTGGCTCCTAGGCCGCAGTTTGCCGACCCCTGGGTCGGGGAATTGCTTGGATGAGCTGCTCGGTATGTTTCAGGTGTGCTCTGCCAGCAAAGCACGTTTTTTCGGGTTCTCCATAGTCAGGTGTTCTGTGTTGAGGGCTCAGTGACCAG